AGCGGCCATCCAGTTGTAACAATTTGTACCTGTTTAATTTTGTGTCCTTTTAAAGTTATTACTCAGCCGCCGTTTAAAAGTCGGGTGGAAATCAGTACTGTAAACTCTCTAATTGTAACCCTCTCTCCAATAAACGACCCCCTTTAAACAACTACCTTTGTAAATCAATACTTTTAATGAAATATAACCAAACAGGTATACAATATATCAAAATCAAAGTGAAACATTGATTTTAATCTTGGTCGATCATGACAAGATCATCAAACTCTTCAAGCAAATCGTCGATGTCTGGCTCTTTGGACTCTTCTGCATCATCCGACATAAAGTCCTTCGAGTTCAATGCGGAAATTCTCTCCCGTCGTCGGGTGTTTAGAGAGGAGCAGCTTGTCATTTGTACCAAGAAAACACTTCACAAAACTCTTCATGACAATGTCACTTGAAATCGCCTTCCTCCTGAGTGAATCAGCCACTTTGCAACAACATCATTTGATGGTGGTCTTGGCCGTCCACCTCTTGTGTAGTCAAAATCACCACTCGATTTCCACTCGTCAATATTTTCGGCCGTTTTATCTTCCAATGGCTTAAACCAGCTGACGGCAGCGGGTTGCGAATACGCCGTAGTGCCGCCAGGAATGACTGCATACAAAAATCCCTTTCGCTGAAGAAACGCCTTCACTTCTTTGCTCACATGAGATCTTGCAGCATCAAACACGAGAAGAATATCGCCAGGATTGACAAAGCCGAACGCGTATTCAAGGTAGCGGATGAATATGGACGAGTTCATCCACGATTTTGGCCACGACAAACAGACACCAAGCCTTCATCGCGAATCCGCAATTCTTTCTCCTTGACCATGAGCATGGGCTTCAAATTTGAACCTGTTGCGCTTGCGCAAAATACTGCTGTGACACGCATTTTGTTAAAACCCATGTATACACTCGGCACATCGCGCGAGCCCGCCAAATCGACAGTTGTTTGACGGGAGTGATCGAGAAAGATGGCTGTCTCGTCAAGGTTGTAAATGTTGTCGGGTACAATCTTGTAAGTTTCAATCAATTGGCGCACTTGTTGAACAAAATTGGCGCAGCGTGAGACGATTTCGTGGTCTTCGAGCACTGGTTTCCATGTACTACGCCTCAACGTGATGTCGTAGCGATCCATAAATTTTTCAAGCCACCCGGCAGAAAATGTCAAGGAGATAGTTTCGTCCAATTCGTCGGCGATGTCTTTTGCCCAGGACTTTATGGGCTTGCTGGTAACACGGGCTCGTATCGATCGTTCGAACATAATCTTCTCGAAGAGAATTTCATCGAGCTCTTCACTTGTCACTCGTCTGCCACCTCCAGTCAATCGGCATCGCGACGGCTTTGAGCAAGCAAGATCGTGTTCTTGCTTTATCCATTGGCGAATGTTGCTTGGTTGCAACTTGTACTTCCTTGCAATAGAACGTATTGATGAAAGCTTGGCCTCTTCGATGATCTTGAGCTTCGTCGTTACGGACACCTACTAGTTCGTTTGGATGGCACTCCTTTTTCGAATTCGCACTTGAATTATTATATATCCGATATGTAAAGATATAGAGGAATCAAATTGTGGACCCACCCTTGAGCGGTCTATTATTACAATAGACCCGGGTATGCAGTTGGAAAGTTTACAGCAGTTGCGAGGGATCTCTGGATGGAATAGACGCCAATTGCAACCATACACAGCTTGAACTCTTCCTGGAATTTCATTATTTCGACCGCTTTATGCCGTTTAAAACGACGTGTTGTGTTCGCTCTTCACGAGTTGGTTCAACGACGGTCACGTGGAGTTACATATGATCAAACGCCGAAGTCAATTGCATGGTGTTTAAAATTAAGTAAACTGGATAATTAAGGGCATGATTATCCATTCAGATGGTGTGCACGACGGCAATTGTACTAGTAATATGGAAAGAGCACAAGTTTCTCGATAGTGCGCCACCATACTTTGAGCACCCACGTTTGTCAGCAGTTTTCACTGTATGTCGACGTTTACGCCCATTACTTACATCTTGTCAATTACCTGACTTTGAAGTAGTATCTTGCGGCTCCGGGCCAGCGGACCTGGTCCGCGCACCTACCTGCCCATTGCGGCGCCTCATCAATCGACGTGATGGTGAACCCGCTCACACGATGCGTCGAGGACTACTCGCTCCCGCCCTTCGCCCAGATGCGCGAAGCCGACATCGTGCCTGCGTTGCGCACAGCCATGGCCGAACTCGCCCTCGACTTAAACGCGATCGAGGACGACTTGTCCGACCCTGACGCCGACTTGACCTGGGAGTCTGTCATGGACCGGCTCGAGATCATTGACGATCCACTCAATCGACTGTGGCGGATCGTGATCCATCTCTCGTACGTGGCCAACTCGCCCGAGCTGCGAGCTGCCCAGGTGGAGGTCCAGGCCGAAGTGGTGACGATTCAAAGCCGGCGCGCGCAGAGCGTCGAGGTCTTCCAGGCAATGAACAAACTACGCGCGAGTCCACAGTACGATACCTACACAGTCGAGCAGCAGGTTCGTCCTTGTTCTCCATCAATCGGCGCTTTGGAAGAAGAAGGTCCCGTGGTCTCGACCGCTGATTCTGCTTGTCACATAGCGCATTCTTGAGCGAGCGATTCTTGCCGCCACGCTGAGTGGCGTGGCGCTCAACGAATGCGACCGACGCCGCTGCAATCAAATATCCATCCGACTCAAAGAACTGGTGACGGACCTGACGTTGCGAACAGCGCCAAGGCTCATTGAGCCAATGCGTAGGCTAATACTTTCTCCGACAACATCCTGGATGGCACGAAAGCGTTTTCACACATGGCCTACAAGCGCTCTGACGTCGAAGGACTACCTGACTCGATCCTAGCACTTCTAGCCCAGGTATTTTTTCTATGCGCACAGTCTTGTCGCCGCGTGAGGCTGACCGTACACTCTGTGCCGATCAGAATGCTGTGAAAGCAGGCCATCCAGGTGCCACGGCAGCAAACGGACCATGGAGATTGTCTCTGGAGTTGTCGGCGTATTCCCCAGTCATTGAGTGCTGCAGCAATCGGCGCACGAGGCAGTTGATGTTCGACGCACATACACACAAGGCAGCTGTACCTCCGCATGATAACACGCCCATCATGGAAGAGATGCTGCGGTTGAGACACGAGCTAGCGCAGCTGCTAGGGTACAACAGCTACGCCGAAGTCAGCTTGCTGGACAAGACGGCGCCGTCCGTGTCGGCCGTCGAAGCCCTCATTTTTGATCTTCGGGACAAATGCCTCGCCATTTCCAAAGTCGAGATGGCCGAAGTTGCCGACTTTGCTCTCAAGCACGGGCAAGAGGAACCACTGGAAGCGTTCGACATTGCGTACTGGTCCGTTGATACGCTCTTTTTCAAGGACGGACTCCTCACAACTTGAGATGCGCGGTAGGACTCAACAGTTGTGTCAG